TTTGATGACTTTTATGGCTTTGATGACTTTTATGGCTTTGATGACTTTGATGACTTTTATGACTTTTATGACTTTTATGACTTTTATTACTTTTATGACTTTTATGACTTTTATGACTTTTATGACTTTTATGACTTTATGACTTTTATGACTTTTATGACTTTTATGACTTTTATGACTTTTATGACTTTATGACTTTTATGACTTTTATGACTTTTATGACTTTTATGACTTTTATGACTTTATGACTTTTATGACTTTTATGACTTTTATGACTTTATGACTTTTATGACTTTTATGACTTTTATGACTTTTATGACTTTTATTACTTTTATGACTTTTATGACTTTTATGACTTTTATGACTGACTTTTATGACCTTTATGACCTTTATGACTTTTATGACTTTTATGACTTTTATGACTTTTATTGACTTTTATGACTTTTATGACTATGACTTTTATGACGTTTATGACGTTTATGACGTTTATGACTTTCATGACTTATGCCTTTTATGACTTTTATGACTTTTATGACTTTTATGACTTTTATGACTTTCATGACTTTTATGACTTTTATGACTTTCATGACTTTCATGACTTCATGACTTTCATGACCTTTCAGACTTTCATGACTTTTATGACTTTTATGACTTTTAGACTTTTATGACTTTTATGACTTTTATGACTTTATGACTTTTATGACTTTTATGACTTTTATGACTTTTATGACTTTTATGACTTTTAGACTTTTATGACTTTTATGACTTTTATGACTTTTATGACTTTTATGACTTTTATGACTTTTATGACTTTTATGACTTTTATGACTTTTATGACTTTTATGACTTTTAATTTTATGACTTTTATGACTTTTATGACTTTTATGACTTTTATGACTTATGACTTATGACTTATCTATGACTTATGACTTAGTGACTTTTGACTTGTGACTTGTGACTTATGACTTTATGACTTTTATGACTTTTATGACTTTATGACCTTTTATGACTTTTATGACTTTATGACTTTTATGACTTTTATGACTTTTATGACTTTTATGACTTTATGACTTTTATGACTTTTATGACTTTATATGACCTTTTATGACTTTTATGACTTTTATGACTTTTATGACCTTTTATGACTTTTATGCCTTTTATGACTTTTATGACTTTATGACTTTTATGACTTTTATGACTTTTATGACTTTATGACTTTTATGACTTTTATGACTTTATGACTTTTATGACTTTATGACTTTTATGACTTTTATGACTTTATGACTTTATGACTTTTATGACTTTTATGACTTTTATGACTTTTATGACTTTTTATGACTTTTATGACTTTATGACTTTTATGACTTTTAGACTTTTATGACTTTTATGACTTTTATGACTTTTATGACTTTTATGACTTTTATGACTTTATGACTTTTATGACTTTTATGACTTTTATGACTTTATGACTTTTATACTTTTATTACTTTTACGACTTTTACGACTTTTACGACTTTTACGACTTTTACGACTTTTACGACTTTTACGACTTTTACGACTTTTACGACTTTACGACTTTTACGACTTTTTATGACTTTATGACTTTTATTACCTTTATTACCTTATTACCTTTATACTTTTATGACTTTTATGACTTTTATAACTTTATGACTTTTATGACTTTTATGACTTTTATGACTTTTATGACTTTTATGACTTTTATGACTTTTATGACTTTTATGACTTTTATGACTTTTATTGACTTTTTATGATTTTATGACTTTTATGACTTTTATGACTTTTATGACTTTTATGACTTTTATGACTTTTATGACTTTTATGACTTTTATGACTTTTATGACTTTATGACCTTTTATGACTTATGACTTATGATTATACTTATGACTTATGATTATGATTATGACTTATGACTTATGACTTATGACTTATGACTTATGACTTATGACTTATGACTTATGACTTATGACTTATGACTTATGGACTTATGACTTATGACTTATGACTTATGACTTATGACTTATGACTTTTAGACTCTGATAGACTTATGACTTATGACTTTATGACTTTTATGACCTTTTATGACTTTATGACTTTTATGACTTTTATGACTTTTATGACTTTATGACTTTTATGACTTTATGACTTTTATGACTTTATGACTTTTCTGACTTTAGCTTTTATGACTTTATGACTTTTTGACTTTATGACTTTTTAGACTTTTTATGAACTTTTATAACTTTTATTACTTTATGACTTTTATGACTTTTATGACTTTTATGACTTTATGACTTTTATGACTTTTATGACTTTTATGACCTTTTATGACTTTATGACTTTTATGACTTTTATGACTTTTATGACTTTATGACTTTTATGACTTTTATGACTTTTATGACTTTTATGACTTTTATGACTTTTATGACTTTTATGACTTTTATGACTTTTATGACTTTTATGACTTTATGACTTTTATGACTTTTATGACTTTTATGACTTTTATGACTTTTATGACTTTTATGACTTTTATGACTTTTATTACTTTTATGACCTTTTCTGACTTTTATGACTTTATGACTTTTATGACTTTTATGACTTTTAGACTTTTATGACTTTTATGACTTTTATGACTTTTATGACTTTTATGACTTTTATGACTTTTATGACTTTTATGACTTTTAGACTTTTATGACTTTTATGACTTTATGACTTTATGACTTTTATGACTTTTATGACTTTTATGACTTTTATGACTTTTATGACTTTTATGACTTTTATGACTTTTACGACTTTACTCTTTTACGACTTTTACGACTTTTACGACTTTTACGACTTTACGACTTTTTACGACTTTTACGACTTTTACGACTTTTACGACTTTTACGACTTTTACGCTTTACGACTTTTACGACTTTTACGACTTTTACGACTTTACGACTTTTACGACTTTTACGACTTTTACGACTTTTACGACTTTTACGACTTTTACGACTTTTACGACTTTTTACGATTTTACGACTTTTACGACTTTTACGACTTTTACGACTTTTACGACTTTTACGACTTTACGACTTTTACGACTTTTACGACTTTTAGACTTTACGACTTTTACGACTTTTACGACTTTTACGACTTTTACGACTTTACGACTTTTACGACTTTTACGACTTTTACGACTTTTACGACTTTTACGACTTTTACGACTTACGACCTTTTACGACTTTTACGACTTTACGACTTTTACGACTTTTACGACTTTTACGACTTTTACGACTTTTACGACTTACGCTTTACGACTTTTACGACTTTTACGACTTTTACGACTTTTACGACTTTTACGACTTTTACGACTTTTACGACTTTTACGACTTTTACGACTTTACGACTTTACGACTTTTACGACTTTTACGACTTTCACGAATTTTACGACTCTTACGACTTTTATGACTTTCATGAGTCATGATTTTTATAGGTTTTATGAGTGTTATGAGTTCTAGGAAGTTCTCAGAAAGTTTCGACAGTTTTTCGCAGTTTCAGGAGCTTTATGAGTTATTTGCATTTTTGCTGATTAAGGAGTCTTAGGAGATAAAGGAGTTGTAAGTGTTTTTGGAGTTTTGGGAGTCTCATCAGTTTCAGGTGTCTTGGGAGTTTTAGGAGTCTTAAGGAATTTTTCTACAATTTCGAGGGCAGCATTCTTTTTGGTGCTATCGTTATGTTATTTATTGCTTCCTAATGATTAGTTCGAATTGATAATCGCGTTTAATCGAAAACCCTGCAGACCTTTTTGCTGCGTAAAAAAATAAGAACAATTTGTAAGGAATTAATTCTTTATAATTTTCTTTCCATGATAATTTTTCACATACATCGGGACAGACGGCCTTCACTGTCTTTTCTTGGTGTAACTACTGTTTAGCTATACTGTTCTGTATTTCCTATCCCGCCTCGACTCGATATCCCTATGGTTATCCAACAAAGCGTTCGAAACAGGATCGTTCCCAAACATATCTAATTTGGCAGCTCTCGGAGGATTTATCAGGATAACGAGAGACGGAGCAGCTTTCCCGGCATTACCGAGAGACATTGTTTTCGACAAATTGAACGACAGCATCCTTGTTCACTGGAGTGAGGCTGACACAATGAGCTTACAGTTTAGTACGGCAGCATCATCACTTGAGCTTTTCGCTTCTCCACATTTCTTATTTCTCGAGGCACGAGAATGTTCGACCAGAATCAAGAACATATTTATTCGTGTTCTTCCAGAAAAGCAGGTATGCCTTGAAATTTTAGATAGTCTTTGTTTGGTATCCAGACCAGACCTCAAATTGAACATAGTAACAGTGTTTGGAAGACTGAGAAGAGAAATAAATCGAACAATGTACAGCGGAAAGTCAGCTTTGCCTACAAAATAACAGAAAAATGTTGAGCAACTGCTATGATTTACCTCTGCTTGTTTATGATTATTGTGACAATGGATCGCCTTCTAGATCGACGCGAAGAGAATATTCTAGATGTCGCTTTGTGGTTCACCAGACCTTTCTCGAAGCAGCAATGCGGACTATATAACTCGGCGGCCGGGAGATGGAAGTAGAGTACAGAGTACTGAATACGGTAGAGTAGCAGAGCGGAGTGGAGTATAGTGCAGTCAATGGCGACATAAGAATTAGTCAGACATAAATGGTGGTGTATATAAATGTTGTATCAAGTTAAATAAATTAGTGCATTTCTTTTTGTGGAATCCAGTGATTTAATTCACACCCAATCCACGCCCAGAAAAACGCTACAATATGTAGAGATGCTTAGGTTTGCACCTTGTATTTTCCGATCCACCCTAGATTATGAAAACAATGTGACTAGTACTCTTTCGTCTTTTGTTAAATAAAGTAGCTATTTTAAAAAGTCTTTCGTTGTTCGCTGTTAAACATTACCCGTCTAGACGAATGTTTCCATTTAAAAACACCAAACATACAAAAGCATTTTTTCAGATGCTAGTGGCAGACCCAAAAGCCGCAGGCAGCCGAAAATTCATCCTGAAAGAAGAACGATACAACGCAACGAACTTTATGACTCTTTGGGAGTTTGAGGGCGTGTTGAAATACTCCCCGCTTTTTTACGGTTGGTACACGAACAGCGATCCTAATGCAGGAGGGTACAGACTTCCGTTTGCTTATTTTGTGACTGGGCTTATGGTGTACGCTTACAGCTTTTGGGCTACTCTGAGAAAGTAAGTATTGGGACGGCGACAGTCGCATCTGATGAGAAAATATTCTGATTCGGATAATTTTATTCTAAAGAGTTTTATTAAATGAATCTACATGTCTATTTTCGCGCTGGTGAGAGTATTCCTAGGTTTTTTGGGGCATTATGACAAAAAAGTGAGATAGAACTTTTTCCTAAAGCTCATAGCTTTTGATATACAAGTGATCCAAACAACAACCAAAACAACTAAACGTAAGGTAAGTACGAAAAAAGGTGCTACTCCATAAACTGGTGATTGGGGCCTAATACCCCAAAATCTGAAAAACGAAGGACCGATACACCATAACCTCAACAGGAAAATGACTGACATAACTTTATAAAAAAATTCAAATGAGTGACCTTGAAAGTATGTTTGATAGGCAACCAAATATTGCCACTACGCAACTGTAATACCTGAATGTAAATAGCGATATATTACCTTTTTATATTATCAGAATAGGGACATGTTAGATATTTTCTTCATGTGGTGAGGATGGGAGCAGAATCCATCAATTCTTTTTCCTCCGGTTGGAAGCCAGCTTGAATTTCCGGCAGCCTGATTCGAGGCTTGGTAAAAACCGTCAGCCCTATGGCTGACATACCGTACAGTGTTACAGCAATGCAAGTGCATACGAAGCCTTTATGAATCCTGTTTGCCAGTTTGTCCATGACTGGGTATTTTTTACTTTGCAACTAAAATTTGAGTATACCAGAAGACATTTGAGGGATAAATGAGTTGTCAGTTTGACAGGTCAGATTTAGGTGGAAGGAAGCATATTGTTGAACGATATAATCAAACTACTTTTTCAGACTGTATACACGGTGGTACAGAACTTAAGAAATGTATGCACTTTACGCTTGGTCTAGGGAGTATCTTCGCATCTGCTGGGAAATATCTTGATTTTATTTTTAGCATAATCTTACACAAAAAGGACCCCTTTCAACGAATCTGGGTGATGTCAGGCCCGATAATGCATCAACAATTATTCAAACAATGCTTTAAGCAAATTTCAAAATACGTTTTTTCATTAATATCTGAGGCTTCGTAGATCTATTTGTTATTTCACACCTCAATGACCTCAGCTCTATTGTTGTCACTCTATAACTCGTTATTTATATTCAATAAATTACATTGACCTGCAATTGTTACATCACCGGGGCACGGATGACCTATTCTCAGCTGTTCTGGTAAAAATTTGTCGCGTTGCCTGAGAGCGAACAGTGGCTAGAGCACTTTATATACAAAATACTTTATCATTCTGAAGCCTTAAGGACAAATATATCTACTATCTAATCTAAAATTACATATTTTAGTTTTTAAAATTTTTAAATTACAGAAGAAAAATTCAAAACTAGAACATTTTTTAAAATACTCCATTGCAATTGTTTGTTCTACGTTTCAGTCTTCTGGATCTGTAAGATCTTAAAAATCTTATTTTTTCGATCTGTAGTATTTGAAGTTTGTTTTCCAAATTTCCATTCACCAGTATATTTTTTCAGGATGGCAGAAAATTCTCGTATGTCAAAGTTATCGGAGAAGGACGACGAATACGTTTTTTCATGGAAATTGTTTACTGCTTGGGATTATATGATCGGCAACGCAGAGACAGCTCATAACAGAGTAGCCTCAATCATTATGGGATTCAAAGAGGCATTATTGGAGGAGGCTGAGAAGAAAAGGGACAAAAGAAAGTATGATTGATAGCACTGATCAACGTACTCCACCAAAAGATACTGAATTCAACAGAAAAACAAAAAAAACAACTACATACGTCTCCACCACTGTTAAGACTGATATAAGAAATCTTAAGAATAATTATTAGGGAAATTGTGGTCAAGGTTGATCTCATATTGCAAAATAAACAATTTTCTTCAAAATGAAAATGGATATAGTCCTTATCACTTCTAAGGAGAATATTCACTTCTTGGGGAGTACGTTGATCAATGCCTATAGGAAAATAATTTTACATTCTATTTTTTCTAATATATTAACATTTTGCTTTGTAGTTGGAAAGTGATATGCTTCAGGGTACTGGTAAACACAGTTGTGATAGGCTTGCTATCATTCTCAGTTTTTGCTGTAGTAATGGTAGTGAAACGATCCACCGAACCAGAAGCAAACAGCACATTTTGGAGAAAAAATGAAATCACTATCATTATGTCACTGATAACCTTGGTATTCCCTATGCTATTTGAAGTTCTTGGATTTGTCGAGCAGTATCATCCGAGGAAGCAGTTGAGGCTACAGTTGGCTAGGTATCAAATAACAATATAATACTTATGTGGACGGTGGTCACAACCCACTATATTTCAAGCTCTTTGTTTATAAATCGGATTCGAAAAGATCGACAATGGAACGTTCCTAAAGTGATAAGACGACTTCAAGATCCTGCTGCTGCTTCATGTGTGTATTCAGGTTGCGTCTTGGATGTTTTCATCTAGCGGAAGAAAATGAGTCCTATTACATTCCGGACAAACCCTGTATAAGCAATAGCTTTGTTATCACATGCGTAGTTGTTTCTTAAACAGAAAGTCCCGACCCTCGAAAAATCTCGTATACTAATATGATTTTTCTTCCAGAATCATGGTACTGAATCTCTTGAATCTATATTCGCTTATATTCGCACTGATTGACAAGATTAGTGACATGGTAAGTAGAAACGAACAATAGTGCTTCATTTACTCCGATACTGACACCCTGATTTTTCAGGCAGAAGAGTTGGAAGAGTTCAAAAATATCACAATGGAAATGAAAGCAGCCAGAGCCGCAAATAAGCTTTCTTCCATCCAAACTTCAACTTTGCATACTACGACAGCTATTATCAGTACTTCTACATCTACAACTCCATCATATTCACCTGTGACAGAATGCTACTTAGTCTGCAATGATTCAGATACCCAGTTTATGCATGGAGATAATTTAGTCTATGACCTTGCCAACAACATCTCGCATGGTGTCTTGTCTACCTTTTTAGACCTGGTCACAGAAATTAACGTTCAGAATGTCACTGACTATCTGAACTCTACCGTCAATAGTATTTCTACAAGTTTTGATAATGCTACAGAAGAATATTTTCCCAGCGACGTGTTCTTCAGTTTGAAAGAATTTTTCTTGGATTATCTCACAAACATTTTAGACCAATTCAATATTGAAAACAACACAATAACTACAAATGTATATGAAAACAATACCACCAACTTTACTGACTACTCCTTCAACGCAACTGATTCTTTACTAAATGCGACAGACTACGAGTTATTTAAAACAACTATGCTACCAGTACTTTTAAACTTTACAAACCTGACAGACATATCTGACGACAGGTTTGATATTGATGCTACTTTATCGACAATATTTGAAAACGTTACCAACGCTGTAAGCAACGTATCTGATTTGACGACTTTGAGCCCAAGATGTAAGGAAATATGTAACGCTGTGTCTGCAGAGAATGACACAACATTTTTCGGATCATACAATGACGGTACGGATCTCAATTTGACATATGAAGTAACTACAACTACTGCAATAGTCGAAACTAGTCTCAATTATTCCATGAGAGCTAGACTCAGAAGCTTATGTTGGGAGACAATGTTTGGGCAAGAACTGATCAAATTGACTGTTATGGATCTGATCATGACAATATTCCCGACATTAGCTATCGATTTTTTTAGAGGGCTGTTTGTCAGGTTTATGAACAGGTAAGTTTCCTACATTGTATAAGTACCTTCCTATGCTGACTTGGCCAAAAACCAGGTAGCTAAAAAATACGGAAATGTTGGCATCGAATCTGTTGATAAAAAGACTCAACTGCTCCGCAGGTGTTGGTGCTGGGACCTGGAGAAGAAGTTTCCTCAATATGGAGACTTCAAAGTGGCAGAAAATATACTTTCTCTAGTGAACAATCAAGGAATGGTGTGGATGGGAATGTTCTTTTCTCCAGGTCTAGTGCTTTTAAATGTCATCAAGCTGTACATTATGATGTATTTCAGAACGTGGGCTGTGTTGACCTGCAATGCACCTCCAGAGGTCATATTTAGAGCTTCTAGGTAAGAAACGAGATAACAAACATGATACGAGTTTTCTCCCTAATTGCAGATACCTAAAGATTGCTGTAGCACCCAATAAAACTGTTCCAGGTCCAACAACTTTTATTACGCACTACTACTGATGATGTTGTTCCTCTGCGTCCTGCCAGTAGGCTATGCAATAGTTTGGATCAAGCCGTCTTGGCATTGCGGACCATTTTCTCAGTACGAAAGGATCTTCCACATATTCACTAAAACGATCAGAAACACCGTTCCTGTATCACTACAGAAGGTGTTGGACTACATCGCTTCACCAGGCATCGTGATACCGTTGCTAGTTTTGTTGATACTTATTATATACTACCTGGTGTCTTTGACAAACGCTCTAAGGAACGCCAACGAAGAATTGAAGGTAAATCTTAGCTATTTGCTATAGCATGTATCTATGTTAGTGACAATGGATCATGTTGCTATAAATGAAAACATATTCCCATTTTGTAGATTCAGCTGCGTAAAGAAAGGACGGAAGAGCGACGAAAAATGTTCCAAATTGCAGATAGAAGGCGAAAAGGAGGTTCAGGAGAATCTACAGATCTGCCAAATGCTCCGTTTAACAAATGGAAAAAGCTACTTAATAATCTGCCAAACGCTAGAAGTTTTGATGAAACGCCTAAGCAAGATACCGATGAGGTTACTCCACCCAAAGAAGAAAAGCCTGAGAGCAGAAATAAAGGTAATACAGTTTTCGTCGACGTAATTTCAGAAAGCACTGAATCGGTTTTAGCTAAATTTAAATGGTGCAGCCTGATAGATGCCAACTTCCTCTTGATCCTGATGATCTTCTTCTCTTCTGGTGGAATACTTCAAAGTACCTATGCTGAGACTAATAAGAGCGTTTTCTATTGCAGATTTCTTCTCAAAGCTCATCAAGAGAGCTCTAGGAAAATCTTCAACATCTGACGAAGACCAAAACGTTGAAGACGAAACTGACACAGAACAACACGATTCCTTACCATACGACTCTGGAACCAAACCCCATAAGGCCCTAAAGCAGTCCAACTCCAGCAGTTCAGATTTCCAAGCTCTAACACAAAGAATGTTAGACATCAAGAGGAATTCTAGTGTTGTTAAAAAGAACGATAATGATGACGAAGTTGGTGAAAAGGAAGTTGGGCCAAAGAAAAGGGACAGAGTTGAAGCAACTTCGTCTAGAAAGAGACAAGATTCGGAAACGTCGTCCATATGGTCTGAAAACATACCTGTTATAAAGATTAGTAAGACTGATAGCACTGAGAAAATTATCAACGATGAAAGTAAGAAGCAAAAATCGGAGGGTAAGTTTAAACCCAAAGTAAAGTGCGCTTTGAAAAAGCAACATGCTGAGGTTGACGAAGACACGATATGCTTCTTTGGAAACGATCTTGAAAGAAAAGCGATCGAAGAAGAAACGATTAAAGAAATTGTTAGTGAGAGTATTGAGGAAGATGATAGTATTGATCAAGTTGATGTTAGAGAAGAAATCACTGATAAGTCCTCTTCAGACCGAGATGATAGCTGTGATACTGTGCTTAGTGTGTCTTGTAGGAAAGAAAACTAATTTGTCTTTATATTATAAGTGTAGATGGAATGTTAGTGTAGATTATGAAGCTTTGTTATATGTTGGATACGTCTATGTAGTACCAATAAAGATGTGTGTTGAAAGGAATTCAATTTATTTGAAATAAAGTTTTGTACCTCCATAAAGCGACACGTGACATTTTCAAGAAAAGCATATTCCTAAAATTACAACTAAATTAATGGAGCACATTTGGAGCCAAGTTTCCTATTTCAAACAAGACTTTCCAATTTTTAAAAATTTTCAAAATCCAGTTTGGAGAATTCTCAGAATTTTTAAATTTCAGGAAATTTTTGAAATTTCAAAATTTTGAAATCTCCAGTTTCCAATGTACTTAAATTTTTCAAAAAATGTTTAATTTGAGTTTTAAAATAATGTCGATTTCCAAAATTTTCAAAAATTTCGTTATTTTTCAAAACTTTGGATATTCGACCTTTTAAATATTTTAAAAATTTTCCATATTTTCAGAATTTTCCAAATTTGAATAACCATAATTTTCAAAATTCTCCAAATCTTGAAGTTTGAAATCATCATATTTTCAAAATTATGAAGTTTATAAAATTTACAAAATTTTGAAAATCTTTAAATCTCAAAATTTCCGAAATTTTCAGTTTTCAGAAGGCTCAAGATTTTCAAGGTTTTCGAATTTTCTAAAATTTCGCAATTTTCTAAATGTTCGGAATTCTTTAAACATTTTTTAATGTTTTAATTACCAAAGTTAACTTTCGAAATTTTCGAATTTTTGAAATAACCGAAATTTTAAAAAATTACAGTATATTCAAAAATTTCAAGATTATCTGGATTTTAAAATTTTTCAATATTTTCAAAAAATTTTAAATTTAAATTACCATAATTTTCAAAATTTTCTAAATTTTCTAATTTTGATATCATATTTTCAAAATTATGAAGTTTACATGATTTTAAAAATTTTGAAAATCTTTAAATCTCAAAATTTCCGAAATTTTCAGTTTTCAGAAGGGTCAAGGTTTTGAAGGTTTTCGAATTTTCTAAAATTTCGCAATTCTCTAAATTATCGGAATTCTTTTAATATTTTTTAATGTTTTAATTACCACAGTCCAAAAATTTTAAAAAATTACAGGATTTTAAAAAATTTCAAGATTTTCTGGATTTTAAAATTTTTCAATACTATAAAAAGTTAGGATTTTAGAAACATCCAGTTTTAAAATTTTCAGGATTATTAAGAATTTTCATTATTTTCAAAATTCTTAGTTTTCAAGGCTTCCGGAATTTCAAAATTGTTGAAATTACCAAAATTTTATTTTTAAAAAATTTGGAATTTCAACAATTTCCTAATTTCCAAAATTTTCAAAAAATTTGTAATTTTCAAAATTTTCTCATTTTTTAAAATTTTCACAATTTCCAAAATTTTTAATCTGAAAAATTCCAGAATTTTCAAGATTTTAAAAATTTTCAAAATATTCAGATTTAAATTTTCAGGGTATTAAGAACTTTTATAATTTTCAAAATTCTCAGTTTTCAAGGCTTCCAGAATTTCAAAATTGTTGAAATATCCGAAATTTTAAAAAATTTGAATTTCCAAAATTTTCTAATTTCCAAAGTTTTCAAAAAATTTGTGGTTTTCAAAATTTTCTCGTTTTTTAAATTTTCAAAATTTCCAAAATTTTGAATTTACAAAAATTCCAGAATTTTTAAGATTTCATGAATTTCTAAAATATTCAGTTTTAAAATTTTCTGGATATTAAGAACTTTTATAATTTTCAAAATTTTCTCGTTTTTTTAAATTTTCTAAATTTCCAAAATTTTGAATCTACAAAAATTTCAGAATTTTTAAGATTTCACGAATTTCTAAAATATTCAGTTTTAAAATTTTCTGGATATTAAGAACTTTTATAATTTTCAAAATTCTCAGTTTTCAAGGCTTTCAGAATTTCAAAAATTGTTGAAATATCCGATTTTTAAAAAATTTGAATTTCCAAAATTTTCTAATTTTCTAAATTTTCAAAAAATTAGTGATTTTCAAAATTTTCTCGTTTTATAAATTTTCTAAATTTCCAAAATTTTGAATCTACAAAAATTTCAGAATTTTTAAGATTTCACGAATTTCTAAAATATTCAGTTTTAAAATTTTCAGGATATTAAGAACTTTTATAATTTTCAAAATTTCCAGTTTTCAATGTTTCCAAATTGAAAAATCTGAAAACCCGTGACGGGAACTGTTACAGTGTGTTAAATCTCCACTTGAGGATCACTTAAAGGCGTGTTATTATTCGTGCAGGCAGACTTGACCATCCCTCAATCGACATTCATCCCTCAAGGGAAACAAACGTGGGCCTTAACCCATCGCTCAAAACACTTTCAGTAGGAGGCTTATGCGGAAGGTGCGCCAGACAATCTGCGCTTTCGGAAAAGACAGTCGCGAAGCGCCGATCGCGGACGCAGGCACCGCTTAGCGTCGCTAGTGCCTCGTCTCTCCTGTTTATTCATCGGGAACAGGGAGTGACACCGGGGACTATTTTTGTGACTACGCGCGTCGCCGCGATTCAAAGAGTGTGAGCAGCTATTTTCGGGGTTACGATAACCCTGTGTCGGTGAATCACGGTGGAACTGTGCGGTAGTGGTAAAAATACCGGTGTTGTTTTTTGAACTGAACTGCTCTTGACTCTAATAAACATTGGAAAACTAGATTATAATGCAAATATAGTTTTTTAACGTATGGAGTACATTGAATTTGTCTCAAATTTAAAGCCGGGTGGATTGAAAGAGAACAATTTCGCGAAATATTTGGCCTGTCTATACCTTGAAAAAGATTTACAGATTTTTCAAATCGCAAACCGAAACATTTCAAAATCTCAAAAACAGTTCTACAAGTTTTAATACTTTGTTGAGTCCACGAGTCATCATAAATGTTGTTGAATTTGTATGTTTATCGATACCTACCTGTCTATACAACATGGCCAACTGAAATTGTCTTTTGGTAAAAGCCCTAAAGATTATTTGAGCAAAACATGATCCAAAATTTCCAAATATCCAACTAACTTGCAAAGTAAATGAAATGAACCTAATTTTCAGTGCTTAATACGATGAAATTATAAAAAGGTAGTTTCTACTTGAAAAAAATGTCTTCAAGGTAAGATCTAATTATGATTCTCTCTTTATGACCACCCTGTACTATTTGTTAGCCAAATCTGACGTAGAATCTATCTAATTATTACTATATTACTAGAAGAAAATCGTTCAAATAATTTGACAAAAAAAAACTAGAAACAGTTGTTATAATATGCCTTCTTCGTGTTCCTCTACCTTCTTCTATCCACACACGACACACACGCATTACCGTCATTGCAGTTTGTACAATTCGAACATGTGATCGTTTTGTATTACATACATAAATCACAATCTGAAATTAAACTCTTTTCTCGAAAATGTACCATGTTATCTAAAGCAACCTAACACCTGATACATGACTTGCATCCGCCGCCGTACCCGATCTCACGATACCAGTGCATAAAATAATACAGTAAACGCAGAAGTGACCATATTGCGCTCTAAGTGACAGTGTTTTTTTACGATCCTAGAAATAGGACCAAAGTCAATGTGACCGGAGTGTTTGCGATGCGCTTGCCGGTAATTTTTTTGTTCTTTTTCGTTGGCGGCATCGAAATCGCCAGCGGTCAAGATGGAGATCAAACGCCGGCAATCGGGATTAAAGGGACCAAGTGCTACGATGATTTCCTCAGGCCTCAGGTAAGGTTGAAATTTTGGCGGAATTTGCATAATCTTACGGCGTGGAAATCAACGTTGTTGTAATAATAGGGTTTTTGGTATTATTTTTTAATGTTTTAATGGGATTGCGGAACACTGAATAGACAGGGCGAGAGGCTGTTTTGTGGGAGAAGTTTTGCGTATCGATTTTTACTTCCCCCCCAAAACTTGTAAAAGTATGCTCAAAATTACAGCACTCCCAGTCGGTGTTACATTTTCTATGTCATTTAGAACCTTTGATTTTCCAGCGATTTGGGGTACAAGATATCGATGTGTGATGATGATGACGAACTGTTTGCTTAGTTGCGTTCTTCTGCACGTTGTCTCAAAATCACTTAACAAAGTACATACAGGGTGGCGCATCGAATACGAAACAGACGCATTTACTGGCAGCACAGTTTTTTTTTTGGAAAAACGTTCAGACCCGTCGATTTTGTGTTCAAAGGGACACAAGTTTGGCAAAACGTCACGTTAGCACGTGCAGTCCCCTAAGCGGGGGTGACACCACCCCCAAAATCTTAAATCGAAAGGGGGGTCGAGTGATACCTTATTTTAAAGGTATTTCAATTCCCTTTATAATGATTTAAAATTAATGTATATATGTACTAAATTCCTATTTAAAATAAGTACGAGATATTTCTTTATCTTTCTTCAAGAAATAACTTTTTTGCCACAAAAAAACGCTCCAATAGCTATTTTCAACAACAAAATGATAAACAAACCATGGGCGTAAAGAAGAAAAGCATTTACTTATTAATTAAATTGTTTTAGTCAAATTTCTTCTGAAAGTAGTACAAACTAATCTGATGTACCTATTAAAGTCTACTTTAAGCTTTAAATCAATAAATCTTCAAAACTACTGAACTGAAGCTCATGTATTTTACATCATTATAAAGAGAATTGAAAGACCTTTAAAATAAGGTATCACTCGACCCCCTTTCCATTTAAGATTTTGGGGTTGGTGTCACCGCCGCCCAGGGGGCTGCACGTGTTAACGTGATTTTTTGCAAAACTTGTGTCCCCCTCGAAAACAAAATCGACGGGTCTGAGCGTTTTTCCAAAAAAAAAAACTGATGCAAGCTGGAATTCTTCTAATATCTGTTCTAATATGCCGATAATTGCACGTGCAACAGTAAAGTTTCTTGACCTGCACTTTGCTCGTATTTCCGCGTATTTTCTTCCCCGGCAAATTTATATGAGGTTGGGCGTCCAGACATCCTCTCAAGATTATGACCGAAGCAGTTAACAGCGACCGAGTTGAATACAGTTGACGTTAATATCAGGAAACGTCCGGGTTTCCTTTTCGGACTGTAAATTTACATCAGTTTATATACTAGGCGATAAAACTTCTAACGGACTGAATAGTAGTTAATATCGATACTTTATAGGATAGGTAATTGCAGAGGAAGTACGGGGTACACCATAATCAGTACCATACGCTGAAAAATAAGTAGCGTCAAGTAGACTGAAAATTAAATAAATATATAAATTTTAGGTTAGGAAACAACATATCGAGATGCGGTTTTCGCAGACTTGCTCGAACATTATTTAGCTGCATGTTCATAAAAAAGTCATACCAATGCATTTGGCTTGTTCGAGAAAATTAACCATTTCTGACGGATGGTCGAAAAACGCCATCTACAGACCACATGTGAAACTAACAAAACTTCAAACATTTTAAAGTTTTTAGCCCAAGAATATCTGTTTCGTAGTAGCCCAAAATATGCTCAGTCGTTTAGAAGCTACAGGGTGTTTTTTACGGAAATCTTTGAACAGAAATAATAATTGTCTCAACCAAATTTCGTTTTTTGTGTAAATCGGGTGCGTGGATCATGATTCTTCCAGAATTCTTCGTTGGCATCTAAGAGATGCCCCAAATTTCCATGCCCGCTTTACGAATTTAATATCGTACATAAAAATAGTAACGATTTTATTTATTCTTAATGTAAGTAGTATATTTAGAACCGGATATATGACTCCCGGCACTTGGAAGGTTCACCGATCCTTTTCCGCTTGTTATTTTATCCATCGGTCTATAAATATATCAATATTGTAGCCGTGTCTGTGTGTCTCCGTTTTCTACTCATTTTGATATATGACTCTTCAATAGCAAGCAAAATCCCAAGACATGATCCGCAACAGAGGCACACTTTCGGAAGTTAACTACACTGGCGGTACCAACAAGCGAGAAAAGAACCTATCAAAATTGTTTTTTATTGGAAAAGAAATGTCGCACGCCTTTTTTTATAAAGGGTATAATGTATTGTTCGACCTTGAAATGGCCTTGAAGGTCACTTGACCTTATGTCCAATGTCGGGTGTAAACCTTTTTTCTCTATTCGATTCCGATGTGGGAAATTAATCACCTAGCTAGTTGATCAGCTAAAATTTCTGTTATAGCGTTGCAAGCCCGAATTCGAGAACGTTGCTTTCGGTCTCCAGATGGAAGCGACCAATACCTGCGGTGACAACGGACCAACGGAATACTGCGAACAAACGGGAGTGGCCGGTACCAAATTGTGCGACGTATGCGTCGCCGGGCAGCACCAAGCGCGCTACTTGACCGACAGGCATAATCAGGACAGTCCCACTTGGTGGCAGTCGGAGACCATGCTCGAGGGGATCCAGTGGCCCAACCAGGTCAACCTCACGCTCAGGTTTGGTAGGTATATACTCTAAGATGATCCGTCAATTGGCTATGTAATCGATTAATTAGTTAATCGATTAATTACTTGACCATTTGGTTGATTAAAAACGGAAGTATGCACAGAAACCTAATCAGATTTGGTAGGTTCACTAATTAGTTTATAGAATGATTAATCAATCATTTAGTTAATTGATTAGCTAATTGGGTCCTCCCTACCAGTTAGTAGTAGGAGATGATGCTCAAAGGGATACCGAGGCCGAATCGTTACGATCTCACACTGAGGTTTGGTACGTTTGTACTTTCGTATTGATTAGTTAGTCGATTAGTCTAATGATTAATAAGCTAATTGAAATACTCTCACTTGATAAGAGTTCGAAACGATGCTCGAGGAGATATAGTGTCCCATTCAGCTTAATCTCATGCTTTTTTGCTGACACTTTCATTATAATTAGATTAGTTTGTCAATTAGTTAGTTAATTAATTAGTTACGCTCACGCTTACAATAATACCCTAACGGATCCAAAAGGGTAAATCAGATCAAATTTACTCTGAGCTTTGGTTTGGTTCCGGCTTCCATATTATTGATTAGCTAATTAATTAGTTAGTTAATTGGGATAAGTACTCAACACGATGCTTGAGGGAAGCCAGTGGCCTAATGAAGTCGATCTCACGCTCAGGTTTGATACGATTATACTCTAAGATGATCCGTTAATTAGCTATGTAATCGATTAATTGGTTAATCGATTTGGTAGGTTCACTAATTAGTTTATAGAATGATTAATCAATCATTTAATTAATTGATTAGCTAATTGGGTCCTCCCTACCAGTTAGTAGTAGGAGATGATGCTCAAAGGGATACTGAGGTCGAATCGTTTCGATCTCACACTGAGGTTTGGTACGTTTGTACTTTCGTATTGATTAGTTAGTCGATTAGTCTAATCAATAAGTTAATTGAAATACTCTCACTTGATAAGAGATCGAGACGATGCTCGAAGAGATATAGTGTCCCATTCAGCTTAATCTTATGCTTTTTTGCTGACACTTTCATTATAATTAGATCGTCGATTAGTTGGTCAATTAGTTAGTTAATTAATTAATTACGGTCACGCTCACGATAATACCCTAACGGATCCAAAAGGGTAAATCAGATCAAATTTACTCTGAGCTTTGGTTTGGTTCCGGCTTCCATATTATTGATTAGCTAATTAATTAGTCAATTAATTGGGATAAGTACTCAAGACGATGCTCCAGGGAAGCCAGTGGCCGAATCTCACGCTCAGATTTGATCCGTTTATACGTTAAGATGATCCGTGAATTAGTTATGTAATCGATCAATTAGTTAATTAATTAATTGTCTGATCAAGTGTTAATTAAAAAGGCTTGAAGGCATCACGTGGCCTAATCAGATCAATCTCGCACATATTTGGTAGGCTCATATTTACGGACTATTTGGTTTAGGGATTCAGATGCCGAATCATCTCAAACTCACATTGAGGTTTGATAAGTTCGTACTTTCGTATTGATTAGTTAGCCGATTCCTAAAATGATTAATTAGTTAATTGAAATACCCCCACTTGATGAGAGTTCGGGACGATTCAGATTATTTCCACGCTGATATTGGCATTATGATTAGTTAGTCGATTAGTTTGTTAATTAGTTAGATAATTAATTAGCTAGTCAGGGTAGCCGTACGTAGTGGTAGCTCACGATAAACATACCCTAAGAGATCCAATGGACAAATTGGATCAACCTTACACTGAGATTTGGTAGGATCAGGGTTTCATATTAATTGATTAACTGATTAATTAGTTAGGTAATTGGGACACATTCTTAATGTATATTGAAGACGATGCTCGAGGGAAGCCAGTGACTGGATAAGGTCAGTAGCACATTGAGGTTTGGTAGGATCAGGGTTTCATATTAATTGATTAACTGATTAATTAGTTAGGTAATTGGGACACCTTCTTAATGTATATTGAAGTCGATGCTCGAGGGAAGCCAGTGACTGGATAAGGTCAGTAGCACATTGAGGTTTGGTAGGTTTATGATTTCAGGCCAGTTAATCTACTAGTCAGTCAAGTTTTTTGTTAACTAATTAGTTAATTACTACATCCTCACTTAGTGAAGGTTCTATACGATGCTAGTGGACATCTAGTAGCCTATAAGATAAATCCGGAACTGAGAACTTGCAGATTAATTAACAGATTAGTTAGTTAACTAGTTAGCTAATTAATTAATTAGTTAATGGGTGATTCCAATCAATCATTTAGTTGGTTAAGACGTTAATACGCAATAAAGAGAAATGTTAAAACAACGTAGTTAAAATAATTTCAAAATTCGTTAATGACCCAAGATTGAAATGTGTCTGGTACTCGTAACTGGCGATGTTTAACAGACTTGTTATCTGACCGACAACTATTATAGATCTGAACCCCAACTTTTTTGCGAATAAGCTGTGCCTTAGGTGTAAATGCATCGTAAACTTTAATAGGAATCCATTCCGTTTCCGTTTTCGTCGATAAAAACTTGTCTGGTGGCGAAAATTAACTCTGCGCTACCATCGAACGGGAGCGGTGTTTTTATCCAGTAATTAGTAAGCAGAATTGTAATCGCTGGAGTACAAAAAGTGGCCGGGTTCAGTCGAGGAACATCGCCAGGAACTCGACTGCAATTTGTCAGCAATATAAATACCGCAACGCATTGTTCGACGTATAAAGGCTTACATAAATCAAGGCGGAAGCTAAGGCCCGCCACACACTTCGCTACGCATGTATCTGAACGATTGTAACGTATCAGTGAAACAGTTTATAGGTGCACTATCCTCAGATGATGGTTCTACAAAAAAAATAAAGGACCAGGGTCTATGATTGGGGTCTTCGGCTTTGAAAATAAATAACGCTCACCGCGTCTATGGAATATTTGTATATTTTAGACAATATGAATCTCAATAGCAGTATTTTGATGTTTGTAAGAGGTTTGAGCATATTTAAAAAATTGGTCGGAGGTGAAGACGATTTTTAGCGGATGCTTTTAATGTTGCGCGGTGCGAATCGCTGGTCAGCTTGCACCAAGTCCATCTATGGAGAAATGGAAATGAATGCAATGCTAGCCACGAAATCGGCAACGTGACCACACGTCAAGTCACAACGAATTTTATGTCATCAGATAAAATCGATGATCACCAGAGACAGCGCAATGTCGTTTGTTTTCGAACAGCCGCCAAAACTAAAAGTTTCATAGCACAGTCGACAGGGTGAGAATAGTTATTTCAGCAATACAATAATAAGCAAAGCGTCTTTTAACAGAGAGAAGAAGTAAAATTTGTATAACAACCCTCCCGTCCCCCTCCCCCCCCCCCCCGTCCCGCTCTTCATCGATCCGTCAGTGCTTGAAAAATACACTTAAGGAAAGGAGTATAAGATATTGTATACGGCTAATCGGGTGAAGAACAAGTCCATGCTCATTTATTTCAACCATCAAGTCCATTTATTTCAACCATCAAGTCCATTTATTTCAACCATCAAGTCCTGGTCTAACGCAGACGTGCAGCAAAGCTCTCGAGTAGTTTCTTGTATGAAGAAATTCCATCAGGTAGTGACTTCTCTTTCAGTTTAGATATAAGAAACTTCAAAAGTGACTAATCAGATAAGGAATCGAAGCATGCTTATGTAATGTTATGCAAGGTGCAACAACATAACTTCTTTTCTCCAAAACACATTTTTATAATGTAGGCCTATGCCCAAAGTTTTGTTTTACATAGTTTTGAAGATCAAATCGGATAGCTGTCGTCCTCTATTCTGTATACACTGAGTAAATCGATTTCTAGTGTTTGTCATGGCTCTTGCCTTGTCTGTCTCAGCAGACGTGGATTTTCTATGGCGGAGTCTGTGGCGGATGTTGCAAGGTGGATAGTCTTCTCCTCAACATATGGCCTTCATCGTGTTCCTCTACCTTCTTCTATCTACACACGACACACACTCATTACCGTCGTTGCGGCCAATTTTGCGATAGGACAAACCAACACGTCGATAGATAATAATTCCACTCCTGTCAAAGTCGCTAACATGGTGATAATTTGGACGTCTTGGATCGCGAGGCATCTTGTTATGTGTAGCACAGAAAATGAAAGGACAATAACTAAAAATATATGTACTCTTCAGCTGTCAGAAACATTTTAACAAAGGTAAACAAAACAAAGATGAAACTTTGAAAAAGGACAAATCGTGAACAATTATATTATCGATAAATAATTGCGGATATATTGGGCTGTACAGTGTGAGGCTATGAAGTTTGGGAACTCCTTAACTAGACTAAAGCAGGACCGGTCGGACGTCTTGTCCCGTCTCAGAACAAAAGAGCAATAATATCATCGACTGCTGCATTTGGAAATGCTACTGCAACTCGCCATATAAAGAAACGGACGGATAATTCTTCGAGATAAAAAAGGATATCGGATTCAGTAGCACTCTCGCAATGCAGCGTCCTCGCCAGGTACCGGATCCAAATTCTTGAAATGCGGGAACTGTTCTATTACCTTTTCTGGAAGCCTTTGACATTTGTAAAATACGTTCGTGAACGCATCGGTTTTCGGCAGAATAATGCGTTTCTAGGTTTTCATATCGGCGGCTTCGACAATTGTCTCAGGTTTTTTTTATATTCGTGTCCGAATCTCTGAATTTTCAATTAACTTCCTAACGGACACGCAGTGCTACCAAGCCGAACAACGCAGAATCACTATTTTATTGATAATTGCATCAAGTTGAACGTATAGGCAACCATACTTACGCAATCCTCTTATTTCCAAGCCATCATAGATGCTCTTACAAAACCAGGGTTGCCAGGTGTGGTGGTTTTTCACCAAATCTGCTGTATCCGTTACATATTTGCACAGAGATCTGTATTTTATATATAACTTTGTTTACTACTAAATTTGTAGATGTTACGATTGTTCTGTTATTCGATTTTCAAAAGTATTAAGTCAGTATTCACATACTGTAATCACTTTCCATCTTTATCTCTCCAACAGGAAAGGCATTTGACATCACTTACATAAGAATATGGTTTTGGTCACCCCGACCAGAAAGCTTCTACATTTCGAAAAAAACAACTGCAGATGGGCCATGGATACCATATCAATATTACAGGTACGTACCACTTATGCGTAATATTCTTGCAAAATCAAAAATTCCGCCACAAATTTTCACACAAGGCTGCCATTATCCACGTTTTTTGTAAATATTTTTAAATGATATGTGGCCATTTCATACATTACGATTCAATTCGCCTTATTTTATTTGATTCAGTAAGTATCTTTTTTTTTATGAGAAAATGATTTTAGACCCCATTTTTTGGTTGTACATGAAAGAAATGGGACTAATTTAAATAAATAATAGTTAATAGTAAAAAACAAGCTTTTATAGCAAACCGTACTAAAAAGAAGAAAATAATTTTTAATTACAAAGAGCTAATATTTCAGTAGTAGATGGTTGAACAATTAATCATAATTAATGATCTCGAAATAAAATTACAACCAAATTTAAGTTATCAACATAATAATTCAATTCCGAGCAGAAATTATGCTCAAAGGTACCGTTACAAAACATACATATATACATAAAGTCCAAGCTAATACGAGGGATGTCATTTAAGTTTTGCATATAAAAACACGGATCGAACGTCAGTACTGAATCTTAACCCCACTCTTTAGTAAACTTAAATTCAAAGACATCCCTCGTATAAGCGTGTTAAAAATGCTGGCGCCATTCAAAATTAATCCATTTTGTCTCTTTCCTAGCACCACCTGCCGGGACACCTACGGACTTCCCGACATGCAGCATACCCGACGAGGAGACGAAGCGAGACCGTTGTGCACATCGGAATACTCCGATATTTCGCCGCTACGTGGCGGTAATGTCGTCTTCGGTACGCTCGAAGGCCGGCCATCCGCATACAGTCTCGACGCAACGCCCGAGTTGCTGGTGAGTATGACTGGTTGCATAAGGTTGATACATCGATTGGCTGAAATGTTTTGTATGGGAGCGATACGGTACGAGGGCGGGTTCAAAGATAGTATTTCTTTATTCAAGGGATGACATGGAATGCGTCATGAGGATAAGAAGAAATTGTTGCAATGTAGAAACATTAAAAAACACTTAAAGGACGACACTAGGTTAAAAATAAGAAATGGGCATATTAGTTTTTCAAATAAACGTGACGCTCATCAATACTGTGAAAGCAGCCTTCCAATAAAGTGTCTTTTAACTGGGATGGAAAAAGGTATAGAGGGATTATATTTTTTACAGGAATGGGTGACAGCCACCGAAATCATGATCACACTGGACAGATTGAACACGTTCGGCGACGAACAATTTGGAGACGAAAAAGTACTGAAGTCGTACTTTTACGCCATTGCAGATGTCGCTGTTGGCGGAAAGTGCAAGTGCAACGGGCACGCGTCAGAATGCATCGATTTGGTGGACGATTATGGAGCGAAAAGAAAAGTGAGTGGAAAATAAACAATAAAATTGTTTACAAGGACAGTGAATAGTCCAAGGGCACTTTCTGACTTATAGCATTGATTAACATATTCTGTCTGATGATAGACAATAAATAACGCTTCCTATATGCTCGTATATGTTCATAGAATTGGCTACAGAGCCATCTATGGGACACTAACTATACGAAAAGTACCGGAACCCCACGATCATTTGTGATCTAACAAAACTAAAGCACCACGACTGATAGGATTATTTCCAGATATCCAATGCTGACCTTGGATTTAACCTTGCCCTGACCTTCAAGGTCATTTAACGGTCAAGCCGATTTTAAAAATGGAACCACTCATTTTTGAAAAGGTAAATTTATAGAGCTTTGTTCAAAACATTTTGACCTTAAGAGGTCAAGGTCAAATCCGGGCACGATGATATAACTTGAAAACCAGTAATCGTTTAGGGAAACTACCGAGACACTATTTTCAAGATTTTTCCCACATATCCAGTGGTGACTTTGGATCTTACCTTCAAGGTCATGTAAAGGTCTAGTCGATTTTTGTAGCAAGGGAACGATCCTGAAAGGACAGTGAAGTCAGTTTATCTGGAGATTACACAGTTTTCGTAATTATCAAGAAGCTGAGGTAAACTTGTGTTTGACCTTGAGTTCAAGGTTAAGTTCCAAAAATTATCGAGGACATATTCGGACATGAAGTGTCCCTTTTATCCTATTCTGCGGTTAAAAGTATAGGGTACAAGTTAAAAAAAGGTTGATCTTCAAGTGACCTTCAAAGTCATGGGCTAGGTCAGATCTAAGATCACCATTGGATGTTCGGGGAAACATCATGGAAATAATGACTGGGTAGTTTCCCTATATGGTTACTGGCATTCAGGTTATATCCTCCTACCTTTGACTTTAACCACGATAACTTAAGGTCAAAATTTTACGCCGTTCATTTAAGTGGTCGTCAATGTATGTATAGTAAAAGGGAAGCAGCTGTGAGAAATTCTCATAGTCATCTGTCACTTGACCTTGACCTTGACCATGACCCTCAAGGTCATTTTAAGGTCAAGTCGATTTTTTGAATGGAAACCCCTATTACGTCAAACATGGACTTGACCATTCAAAAATGTTGACCTTAGAAGGTCATGGTCAAGGTGAAACCCAATTACGGTGACATAACTTGAAAACCAGAAATCTGAGACATTATTTTCGTGATTTTTCCCAGGATATAAAATTGTGACCTTGAATCTGACCTTCAAGGTCATTTGAAGGTCAATTTGATTTTTGTAGCCAGGGAACAATCGTGAGAGTACAGTAAAGGCAGGTTGTCTTGGAATTAAGGTAAACTTGTGTTTGACCTTGATGGAGTCCAAGGTCGAGTTCCAAAAATGGTCAAGAACGTATCCGAACGTAAAACTTTCCCTTTTTTCTATGTCGGCGGTCAAAAGCGTAGGGTCCCAATAAAAAAGGTTGACCTTAAAATGACCTTGAAGAGCTTGGTCAAGATCTGATCCAAGGTCACTATTGGAAATCAATAAAATGACGTCTAGTTTCACCACACGACTACCGGCTTTCAAGTTATATCACCGTACCTGGGTTTGACCTTGATCATGACCGCGTTAAGTTAAGATTTTTAAAGGTCAAGACCATATTTGAGCGTAAAATTTTCCGCTCTTTTCCTGTACGGGGTCAATAATGGGCTTGTTCTTACCATTATTAGTTCACCGACTATTGTGTTGTTCCGGACCTTTTCAATATAGTAAATAGAGAAATAGTTGTGACAATTTCTCATATATGACGCTACGGCACCTCATTTTATCTCTAACAATTTCATGGGCGCGCGAACATTGTATTAAGTTGCCTATCTACTTAATTCTTTTTTTTTATTTCTACGGCAGTGCTAGAGAGACAGTGTAGCTTTGATTATTGGGTATATATTGGAAAGATTTTTCTTAATAATCCTTTTTTTCTAAGGTCTGCAAATGTCAACACAACACTGCTGGACCAGATTGCAATGAATGCCTACATTTTTACAACGATGCTCCATGGTCTAGAGCCAATACAACCCATGCGCATGAATGTAAACGTAAGTCAGAATTGTCTTTTACATCGAGATATTTTCCGAAATGTGGCAAGCCTCCTCCATAGATGAAACATAGAACTTACCAAAGCCGTGACGCAATAACTTGTAACGCGAGGTGAAGGTTTGCCACGTTCTGTGTTTAAAATATAACTACTTATTCCAGGGATGTTAGGTTTCTGTCAGGTCTATGACCTTGATAATTTTACATGAAATTATTGGTCATGCTCTATCGGTAACCATAATACAAATCGCTTTCAATGTCCGGACTAGAAATATATTTTTTTTACCGTAAAAATTGGACATCCAATTAGTGAAATTCCTCGATACGCAATGATCCTTTTCGGCAAGAAGGAAATTCCTCGTAATAAGACGACTTACGGCAGGATTCATGTGTCTGACACATTGAATCCGGCGCATCCTTTTATTTGGAAACGCATTTTTAGCACGACCTTAATGAAAAAATGCGGTGTTGTGGGCGGTACCACGATACCAGTTTGGTACACAACACCTCTTTCACGCACTTTGAAAACGCAATTTAATTGAAAATAAAATGCGCTGATACCTAATTCCTTTTGTTTCTTGGTACCACTTCACCACATTCCGCTTACTTGGGCAAGCAGTTCCACAAAGGGCTAAACGATTGATGTCAAGTTTATGGTATTGCTTTAGTGCTATCGTTCCATCTCTCTGATGCAGCATGTAGTAGTACCAATTTAGTTTCGTTATACTGAGGTACTGCCTTTATAATTTGGTACAATTCCACCAATTTCCGAAGAAAGGGTTCACAAAAGAATTGGAAACAAATATTTATTACACAGACAAGAGGCGGCGATAGTGGCCGCTCCAAAGTGGTACTTTAATACCTCTTGTTCGGAAACACAGTTTTGATGAAAGATGCAATGGAATTGCGGTACCACTTATGAACCATGGTACTACTCCAAGTGCCACACACTTATTTGGAAATGAGCCCTTGGACAATTTCAATGAGAAATATGCAGACAATAAGACACGGTACCACTGTCATTTGGACGGTACTACTTCTGAAAGGATTTTTTCATTTTTGTGGAATTGCAAGTCGTACCGGTAGATGCGGCGACGATGGCAGTACCATACAGGTATTTTGGTAACATGTTTGTATTGCGGCATTATTATAATGTTTTTCTCAATGTTTTGGACAAACAGATGCGACGATGATGACAGATCAAAGTGTGGTACCACTTTTGGATCATGGTACTACTTCAGCGTCACCCGATTTTTCTAAACAACCTTAACGAAACAATGCGCGACAAGAATCAGATGCGGTACCGCTTCGTCGCATTCCTCTTATTTGGGAAAGCAGTGCCATCCGCAGCGTGTGGTAGTACCACAAAGGGCAGAACAATTAATGTCAATTAGACGGTACCGCCGTGCGTACCGAATTTAATTTATGGCACTTGTAAAAACACAGACGGGCAAGGTGGGAATTTTTTATGCTCGCCTTTGCGGCGACTTCATCGTTGGTAGTACCGAGAAATAGGGTTCTTGGAAGTCGTACTGATATGATGAGGTGCGACCGTGTTAAGAGTAAACCGAGAAGTTTCGCCCTTTATGAGTAGCGGCGTTTTTAAGAGGGGGACGTGAGAATATGACATTTTCCGCGTGAATGTGAAGCCTATTAATAATTAATAGATGAATGCGATATTTTTTGATGATAGTATGGACTGTGATGTGTGCTAGTATGATGCAATAGTACAGCTTTCGAAAATTCTCGACAGTTTTTCTTTTCTTCTTATTTTCTATGTATGTCTCTACAGACAAACTTGTTCTCAATAATAAGCGAAAAAGAAGCAGACTGACGTCGAAGGCGTGACAGGGAGATCTGGGTAATTACTTAAGTATCATAGAAACCTTGGTTTTTGGAGATTAGATCGCAGAAAGAAATAAAGATCATATGATGTATAACCCTTCCAGTGGTCTGCAGGCTGTTCGCTATTCGCTTTCAAATAAACTCATAAAAGGGCACCCTGCAGGTTCTAGCAAAGTTGCCTCTCAGATCAACCGTAGTTTGCATAGAAATGACCAGTTAACAGTGGAACGTGTAAAACTTATTAACGCGTAAACCGTGAATGTTGAAGCAACGAGATAATTTTTATTGGCAAATTAACCGCCACTGCGTCGTGCTTCGTAGCTACTACCAACACCTACTATTTCTTCTTCTTATTTGTTGCGTGTCATAAATAATGTTGCTTTCATTAACATTGTCTTCCATGCAAGTTTATTACTAGGTTAAAGCTAAGGTTATCGTCAAAAGATGTTTAAAAACAGTTAACGTTTGAAGGTGTAGTTACTGGTCATTGATGACTGTTACGCACATACAATGAAATTCATTGTTGTTAGTATGTTGTTCTTTACCTGGGAGGAAATTTTGCCTAAACTGCTATATTCATACTTAAGTCTCTTATACATCGTGTTCTGAAAGTTCAGACGGAAGAAGAGTGAAACAGCACAGAAAACCAAAAAAAAAAGAAACAGAGGAAAAGCATTTTATTTGGCCAGAAAAAGGGTTTAATCAGGAACCTGCCCAAATTGAAAAGTTCAGACATAATGTTTTGAACCCTTTATAGGCAAATATGTTGGTATTCGCTCAGAGAACAAAAAGGAGTGTTTTAAAAAACGACATAAACATAAATCTAAAAGGTAATAAAATAGTGATACGAAATACAAAATAAAGACCCGCATGCTCTTTATTGCACATAGATTATCCTTTGAAATAGTATATACATACTACTGAAGAAGAAGATTCTCCTAATCATCTACTGGAATGCACTTAGCTTACCGATGATGCTTTGACCTCCCTGGTAGGAGAAAATCCTTTGAAATACAAAAGATTTATAGCGGTTTCGTAAAGACATACCTAAACATCTCTCCTATTTCTAGGTAGTAATTATATGTCATATAATCCTTCATGATACGTATCCACTTATCTTCATACCGTTACATGGTTCTTACATTGTTAAATAAACTTCTTTTCAATCCCTTATTTTCGGATGGATTATTAAAATAGTGCAGTCGTTTTAGATTAAAACCTATTTGGGATTCGAGCAATGTAATACAAAACGTCTCGCTTACTAAGGAGGTTCAAATGAGAGACATCGACGAAAACGAGTGACATGGTTGTCTGTTAGCATTACTTAATTATCTTTTAGCGAAATTGTGTAATATTTTCGAAAAGGGTGATTTTTTTCTGATAAATAAAAATAATTCCACAAAAATTTTTTATATAAATTTTTCTTTGGCCTTGATTTTAGGTTAGAAACAAGATATCGAGATGCGGTTTTCGTGAGCTTGTTCAGGCATCATTTAGCTTCCTTTTCATAAAAAAAATCATGTCAAAAAAGAGCTCTAGCAGCCATGTATGAAACTAACAAAACTTCATATGTATATTATAATATTTGTAGCTCTTTTCAACCAGTCCAAGTTTGTTAAAATCAGCGCAGCCTGTTTCGAAGATACAGTGTGTTTGGTACGGAAAACTTTGAATACCCCCACCACTTTATTTGTAGAATACAGCAAGAATTGTCATATTAAAATAGTTGAGTAGTAAAGTAAAAAAGAAGGTAAATGACGGACATAAACGCAGAGCCATCTTTGCTTTTACGAATAAGATCTTGGAAAATATTGACTGTTAGACTGCTCATAATTTAATTATTCGCTATACAATTTTGTAGATGATGCAATAAAAAATTCTTTGTAATTTCTTCACGGTTTTTCTAGAATGCTTTCCCCGTACTAAAGATCAACATGAAGCAGACGGGCGTGGGCCGCGGGTCTGAGCCGCAGACATCAGCTTTTATTTTTCTAAAGGCTGATTTCCAACGTGTTTACTTGCAAAGTAGATGTATCAGGGCCGAGGATCTTATTCAGTCACATCACCGTCCGTCCGTCCGTCTGTCTGTCTCGCATCAAATGGAATCACAATCGCCAGTTATCGAATGTGAAACGTATCGACTCGAAAACGTCAACTTACAAGGTGGTCGGTGACAGAAACACGACACACACGGTTACAGGTGTATACTTTATCTGAAGTCACTTGAAACACTGTGAAATACCGGGTGCGTTTTATATATCTATATTTAACACGCTCTGTTGCTGCAAAAATCGCCAAATTTCGCAGCAAATATCCCCCGTATAAGAGATCAAAGGCAGTTTCACCGGTCCACGTGGAGTAAAGCACGCCTATGCGTGGACATAGCCAATGAGAAAGCGTGTATTTCAGAGTTCCGAACAAGTGCAGGTGGCTACTGAAAATTGAAGCAGTTTAGCCAGTGCCGTGTAGCGGTGAATAAACGTGTTTTCTTTAGTCTGTCCGTGTTTTTTCATAGATTTTATTAGTTTGTGTGTTTTTGGCTTTTGAATACTCAGTTTACTTGTTGATTTAATTGTTGTGTTGATTGTTCTTGTGTGTCCTAAATATGGCTCTTTGGAGACCTTGGGAAAATGCTCCAAGCCACGAGGAGATTGTTGATGAACCTGTGCAGGCAGAATTATTTCATAAAGATTTAGAGGAACAGACCCAAAGAGTAATCCTAAATATGTATGATTGTCTGAAAAACGAAAATCCAGATTCCTCGCAAAATCAAATTTTAAACAGAATTTGTGTCCTGACAAAAATCAGTCGGTCTACCATTTATCGGGTTATAAAAAGGGGAGATGTAGTCAACCATTCCTTCCACAGAAAGCGCATAGGGCAAAAATTAAAAAGAATAGACGTGGGTTTTCAGGAAGATATTCGTCGTATAATATACGGATTTTATAAAGAAAATTTGGTGCCCACGTTGGAAATGATACGGGATAAATTAAAAGATTATCCTGAAGATTTTTATAATTACAAATGCTTAGACTCACTGCACTGTATTGTAAAACTGTGTGGTTTTAAATACAAAAAATTAGATAAAAGAATGGTGATTATGGAGTCGTCTCGAATCGTTGAATTGCGCCAAGAATTTTTGCACAAAGTTAAAATC